CAGATTTGCTCGTACCAACATGTCACCAAAATACACCATACTATCCTTAAATCAAATGTTTCCCCAAGGGGTTAGGGTGGGGGCAAGGGATAGAACGGGAGCAGTGCACATTAACTGAGAGTTGTGTGAGCGAGCAGACTTCAACCTTTCAACTGATTTATATCAAGTGTATCGAGGTCAGTTAGTTTGATGAGGAGTGAATATGCAGGGGTTCAAGAGCGATGATTAGACTGCGATCCAAATGATAAATGTATTTATCACAATGTCGGATGGGGGTCAAGCTTCGAAGGAACATTAGTACAAACTGAGCGGATATTAAAATGACTGGCGTGGTGAATTTCTCCAAAACACACATCGTTACAGATGTGTATGCATTTGTTTAGCATGAACAAGCTCTCTATCCGATCATGGTATTTTAAATCTATGAAACTTCCTGTCTCATCTTCAAATCACTACGTTTGCATTTCTCATAGTTCTCACAAGAGTTCTCCTTGGTTTGCGTTCGATCTTAATCTATTGCGTATTGAAAATATTCTTCTCAAAAGCCCTGATCTCCATCCTGGGTGATTCCAACGTTCACATCACCTGCTGGTTAGCATACTTTACGATAATCTAATTCACGTACTACATTTTGGCAGCGTTTGCCAACATAAACAGCCCGTTACATTTAGCCACCTTCCCCAACCGTATCCTCAATCGTACAGAGGCGTGCGTTCATACCGCTGTCAGTCATCATACTAGCAAACGCACTAACCGCTTTCCACTTAGTTGTTCATCCTGTTCCTTTACTTGTTCTGTTTACCGTAATTTCTCCGCTTTAAGAACTCTTCTAACGATCTGGTTCCCAACCTATTCTAAAGGATTGATGTGTTTGCCTAGCCTTTTACTCGCAGTTCTATCTTCCCTGCATTTATCACCCTTCTCTCACCCTCTATCCACCACGGTAACATATTTTCCCAAATTAAAGCCAGATTTCCCCATACCAGTACGCGTCCTGGGTACATCCAAGCCAACGGTGTCAGGTGGAATATCAACAATTCTACTCAAAACTTGCGCACCAGAGCTTGCTCCTGTTTCCCTTTTTCTTATCTCCCAATCTCCACATCACGTGTTTTCGAAATGTTTGAAACTGTTCACGTCTTTCCCATCCCTTAAACGAGGTGTAACCTCTAAATTTCAACAGTCACCATCGCAACGCTCTCGCACCATTCCCCTCCACTTAAGTGGGGCTAATGATTGCAAAATAACTTCACTGTCAATAGGATCGTCAAGACTCTTTTCGCGATTGTCGATATGTCTTTCTCTGCCTCAGGTTCACTGGCGACCTGTTGGTGTATAGACTACATATTTAGGCCTCCACTGTTAACCACCATGGGGAGTTGCATCTGGTCCCCTCTCGATTTATTCAAGGTTTTCCATTGAAATTGGCATGATGCACTCCCAGCTAGATTTCCCAAGTTTGAATTTTCCCTTACTTTACCATACATCTTTACATTACATCATCGTACAAAGATTCATATTGAGGAGGTCGTTTGGGGAACAATTCCGGTTAACTGCGGCGTCCCACAGAATTCCGAGCTACATCACAACTTCTTCCTTCTCTTCGTCGATATCCGTTTAACTCCAAATTTTGATTCTATCTATGCTTTTTGAGGATATCATGCAAGATTGTTCTGTTCCCTTCCAACATTCCTTTGCTTTCTCCACCATCATCCGCTTGTGCTTCACTCATTTCAGACCGGATTTATATAACTATTTGGTGCACTAAAATTCAAGTTGTCTTCAATGCGGCTGAAGCGCTTGGTATATCTATACACACATACCCTATCCCTATGAGCTCAAACTGCATTTCGATTCCAATTCACTGGGTTCCATATGCATAATCCTACATGATCTCCAATTTTCCTCTTCCGTATCCTGATCCCTTAATATAGTTAAACTTGCATGGTATGCATCCAGAAAGATTACCAAAATTTTCCGTTCAAAACGGGTCTTACCCCCTTTACAAAACTCTAATATGCCCCACTATGAAGTACTATTATGGTATTATGTCTGGTGTTTGGTGTCTCCTATTGTTCCTCAACTCAATCGGACCGTGTTTAGTGTAAAGCCATTCACCTCATCACAGATCCATCCCTAGCATTCGCCCTTCAACCACTTTCTTAATGTTGTACATTCATCTATTTCTTTTTTATCGTTATTGCCACAGTTGCCACAAATGTGTCTCTCCAAACAAACCTAGTCTTACGATGCTTATCCCAACAATTTCAGTAAAAAGACCGTTGGAAAACAATGCGAGCCTTTATTGGTATAGGCAGCTAAAACGTGGTCGGGGTCGAGTAAGGAAGAAAACGTGTGGTATTTATGGGGTTGCTCACTGTCCAGACACTTGTTCGGAATCGGGGTTGCGATGGCGGCGATGAAATAACTGCCAGAAATCAGGTCACCGTACTCTGTACTTTTACTCTGATGCCCACCTACCCAGTACGATTGAGAAAACGCCGACACGTTCACACTGATCTTAATCCATTTCTGACTCTTGCCATGAGATTTCTCTGGAGAAGGCTGGGTTTGGCCTGACAGCAAAGCTTACCATTTTGGTCTCTATTTTACTTTCATTTACTTTTGAGACCCGGTCAGAAGTTTCAGGTCCCCTCTTTCACTCTCGTTTTTACAACAACCGTCCAATTGTAGGGCACTCTTCATTGCTCTATTTTTTCTCTTTATTGTAATCTCTTTCTATATCCAAGCATGGAATTGACAAGTTTTACTCTGAATCCGTGCTCGTGCATCTCTATTGTACGCCTGCCCCCGTATTATGGGGTTCACCTCCATCACCATCCATCGTGCTTGTCACGTAATAATGGGGGCACTGTCTTCCAAAGGTTAACCTAAGCAACTTGACAATACTACACACAAGCGATAATCATAATCTGATTTATTTGGTGTATACACATCTGTATTTAGTAGCATCTTCACCGAAGTTTGTTTGTGACATAGTCTGTTCTCAGAGAGATGTTTGATTATCGCTATTCGTATTGGTTATCCTAGAAATAAAACAGGATTTGGGGAGTACGCTGACTCCCGGGCAGATTGCACTTCGTCAGTTGCAGCCGTATTTCAGAACCCTGATGGTTTCTGGGTTGTGGAGGATTCTGAATGCTTCGCGCAGCATAACATGATGCTTCATTTCGACCTGGTATTTTTGATCGATGAACTAAGTTTCCTGTGGGTCATCGGTGACGTCATACTTCCGAAGTTCCAACTCACTGTTTTCTGAAGCCTGATCGGGATGCACTCAGTTACTCGGTAACGCAGTTGGCTTCCCGTTCTACTGGTGTAGATGGCCGAGCATCTAGGTTTGAATTGATAGATACAATTAGATTAGGTGTGTGGAGATAGCGGTTCGTTCACGTGTACAGATGCAGCGAAATGATCCAGAATACATTGTACGAATCTGTGTTTTGACTCCTCTATTCAGAATTACGATGCATTGAGAAGGCAGTGAAACGAGGGTAATGAATTTAGTCTTAATCTATGGTGTACAGTTCATTTCTGCTGTCATGTACAAACCAGACGATCAACAAAATCAAAAGTTCGGCTTTTCTGAACAACGGAAGATGGAGATGGATAATAAATACAAATGTATCATGAACTGAGCCGTTTCTCTCCGTCTGTTTGCGGATCTGTTTATGGTCACTCTGAATTTCAATTTGGAATGGTTGTGTTACCAGACAACCCAATCCTGTAGAGCGTTCAAATGTCGTCTCGTAACTATTAACCCTGTGTTTTTACTTGTTTTTTCTAACCACAGAACTTCTTTGTCAATGGACAGCCCACGTGGATCTGATCAGTGGTTTGGCTTTTTGTACCCGATTCGAAAGGCGTGTATTCCTCGTCACTAGCTCCACTGACTGTTCAGTTATTTTGTGGACTTTGGAAGGTGTGAAAATTGGAGTATTCGGTCAAGTACGCTACATTTCACACGCATTTTGGTTTTTCAACTTCACCCCGTTTTTCCTCATGTGTTGTGCTAGTATACAAATCAGTTGAAATTGACATGTCATTTCACTTGCTGTTTCAAAGGAGCTGCGCTGGAAACTGGAACAAATGCAAAGAGATATCGGTGCAGTCTCTTTGGCAAGTACAGAAACCTCACCGACACAGGGTCCGATTGATAACTTGTTGGAAGGCGCGCAGGTTCACGAATCGAAGGAACGCGAAGATTCCATTGAATCGGTACGTTTGAAGATAACCAGTTCATATGTTGCGTTTTCTGGTTACCAGTATTTACCACGGCACCGAATTAGTCTTCAGGTAGCCCAACTCAATTTGGTAACATCCCCGATCGCGAAATATTTGACCTCAGTGAAAAACAAAGTTTATCCAGTTTTATCTCGTTTAACCTCCTCAGTGGCAGACGTCAACAATCAGGCACACATACAACACAGTGTATTAACAAATCATAGCGAACGACTATGTATAGATAGACAAGGGTTTTTAAAATTATAAGCAAATGGTCTACTCCGTGGTAACATCAAAGATTGAGGAGATTTACCTAACTTTTAACGTCTCGCAACATATCACTTCTTTCGGCCTTGATTCAATCGATGAGGAGAATACAGTGTTTTAAATTTTAACTTCTATCTTTTGGGCGGTGGTGGCCTGTTGATAACATCACCAAATATCACCCCGGAGGACGTGTGATCGAATCCCACCACCGCCGTTTGACTTTCCCCATTGCGTGTTGCATGTCAGCCCTTTAGTTGGCCGCTTACCCCTTCCTGAAATTTCTATCATTGTGTATTCAATAAAAGGAAGTCAAAATGAAAAGTAAAAAAACTTCTCATCAGCTGCAGCTTTTAGCATCGGGTGAACCTAATCGAATTAGATTGCATGACCTAGCTCGTTGTATCTAGCATTTAGTAGCACACGCTTTGCTTACCATGGGCGTGACATACGTCCACTTTTTTCTGCACACGTTGCTTCCCTTTTTTGTTATTCATCTATTCTGGTTCCCGACACAACGCTGTATGAATTTGAGGCCATTTCAGGTAGGGGATGGAAAGCAGTAAATGAAATCTCGCAGTATTCGTTTTCTCTCTGTACTGACTAATTGGATAAACGAGACTTCGAACTTCCCATTGCTACAGCATTCGAATTCGGTTAACAAGATCCACCATCCATGGTATATTGCCTTTTAACTTACCGCGAACTACTTCCATGTATGAAAGTTGTCCATTGCAACATAGCACACAAACATCTTGTTCCATCTAACAGACTTTACCCCCGGGGTAAGAAAGTAAATCGGAAATTTTTAAAGCTTGTGGTAACCAAACCGAAATTTGTCAAAAAGAAGTTTCATCGGTTCATATTAGTCGCTTATCAGGGTGATCGTTTGTTCGAATATTTAATTCTCGCTGCTCGTTGTTCACTTCATTTTCATAGTAAATCTTGTGACGGATAAGAAGGAGCATAGATAAAACACAATATGACAGATAAGGGAATCGCAGATAAAGAATAGGAGCAAGTGCTAAGTGTCACGTGGTTGCGTTATAAAGAGATTCCAGCGCAACACAACATAAAAATCCTAGATCCCAACCCACCGCTATCTATGCAATTCATTCTAATGGTTCCAAGGATTTCACATATTTTAACACATTTTCACGTTATTCTTAACAACTGCGCACTTCGCGATTCCCTTCTGTTCTGTATTCCTCTAATCATGCTTCTCAATCCTTCCCAAAACTCAGTGTCCGTCTCCACCACCGGAATTCCGTGTGGACAATATCGAATCTTTCTCCGAGAACGCTTCACTGACTGAGATATGCAATATTCTCAGCTGTTATCGTGTCAACGCCTGGGGTCACACATTGCTTGGTAAGTGAGCCTGCTCTCTCCTCTGTGAATTCTCTCGAGCAAATACAAATTTATTGGATAATTTCCCCTGACCAAATTTAAATTCTGTTGTACACACTATAAGAACACTATGCGCTATCTTTTTCTGTTTGTGTCTGTGTTGGGAGGATGGCGCATGCTGCGACCGAAAATGAGGAGCACCAGAAATAACACTTATTATCAATGGTCATCCATGGCGCTTGGGGCTCCGCAAAAATGGTTCATTTATTGATCGTACCAATCGGTTGTGCATCAACTGCGGTACTGGATTAATTTAGAGCAACCTAAGAACTGCCGGCATCGTAACACTTCATATCTAAGCTATGTTTGGGGTTTCTAAATAGAATAACTTTTTATCTCAAACATATGACACAATCAATCAGATACAATTGGAATCTTCATGTCCTTTTCAGGCAAGGAATATCAAGAAATGCGAGTCCGTAAACGTCAACGCAGACAACCTCAAACAATCCCTGACTTACCATATTTGTACGGAGAACGATACGGCCGACCAAATTACGGTCCATATTACGTAAGCGAAAGTTTCTGTTAAAGCTTTTAACATCAGAGTAATTTACTATTAAAATGAATAGGAACCACTTTCTGTTTGTACATGTTATCATTATCTACAGCAGAAGAGCTAAATCTCTTCGGATTTAGCAGCCTTCCATGAGAATATGAGAACCGAAGCGATTGTAGTGGCAAAAAGACACATTTCACTTACATTATCTTGTTCAGCGAAGTGTTTACGATCAAGCTAGGTAGACAACAACCAGATTCAGCTCCCGGACGTAAGCATCACACCTCGGTCCTGATTTCGAAATTTTGATTACGAAAGATCGTCGAAGCTTACAGTTCGTTCCAAGTTATCGCTGGTGATTTAAGTAGATGAGAATGCTTCCCATTGGTGATGATTGGACAATTAAAAGAAATTCCCACGTTAGTACATGCCCATTTGCGCTTTTATTCGCCCAGCATGCTAGCCTGTCTCGTGCTGGTAGGTTATTTTGCAACTGGTTTGGTCGAGACGAAATTCGTATCCGGGTACAACTTGGCTGAGTTGTACTGTATATACCTACCTGATCAAATGTAAAGACCGCGGTATCGGTTCTGTAATGCACGAATAACCGTTCTCTTCAAAACAGTCACATCCGCAACTTTCTTCCTCAGATTGAACTGAAGATATTATCGCGGAGCTCTGATTTTGTGTTTGGTTCACGCATACCCTTAGCAATCCGGTTTAGTCGAGGTCATGTGAATTGCAGTCAAAGGGAGTTCTGTATCGTAAGGCTTTCGAATATATATATATATGTATATATAATGTTTTGTCACACACGTCTGAGTTCAGACTGAGTGCTAAACCAAGAGAAACGTGCGTGATTTTCTCGTGGGCGAAATACTGCTGGGTTGCCCAGGCCAGAGTAGGTGCATTTTCTTAGGGAGTTCACAACCGGAGT